GACGGCCTGAACCTGTCGGGCATCGAGGTTCGTGAAAACAATCCCACGCCTGGGTCTGGTCAATGTCAAAATAATCCCGGCGCGAACTGGTTAAAAATATGTACAGTGTGTAAGTAGGATCATTTGCTTTTTGTGCGTTTTCTTTTTCGTTTGAAGCAAACAAATTGAGAAAACACGGACAACATGTGCACATGTTTTTGGGGTCTCGTAACTGGATTCCGTTGCTTACACACGTAAATAAATCTGCATGGGGCATCCATTTTGAAACCATCTTTAATGTTAGTTTTCTTGCAAACAATACCATTTTAGGTGGAATAATTTCACTGGGTATTTGACCAGTCCTATCTTCACTTAGTCTATCTAATAGACCACGGCGAATGCCGTGGTCTATTATGTGTGAACAGATTTGCTGATTATTTAGGCAAGACCCCGCCTCTTGACTTCCTAGATTTTGACCAATCAGCGGGCACTTTCTAGGCCTATCGGGTCTTCGGTCATCCACCCGTTGCGCGTCATAGACATGGATTAAAAAAAACTGTCACGGCGCATGGCGCTCGGTATCATGTTACGCGAATGCGCTCCCGGCTGTTGTATTACAAAACACTGCATTCGAATTGACCAATCACAGCATTAGTCCTGATTTGGGAATGAAATGACGTCACGATTTAGTAAAGTCGACTCCGATTGGCTGGCGTGCGGCTTGCATAAATTTGCATGTCAGGAGATGTCAGATGCTCGACCGGAGATAGCTCCGTGGAGAACGGGTGATACTCAGACTAATCTTGACTTTGAGCAAGGTTTCTCTCTTAAATCGTTAGGCAATTTCTCGGGTACTTGCATATGTTCCTACATGTGTACGTGGCTTTAATGTTGTTTATGAAAGAGGTCCACATACAGATAAGTTGTCATTAATATTTTAATTTGCATATATATACACACCTGAAATCTTTTAGCAAGCATGTCCGGGCGTGTTCAGGCATTCAAACTGTGGACGAAAAATGACGGAGTTAACAAAAGAGTCCGCGATTCCCAGCATACGTCCACGATTGTACAAAACATATGGGAGTCTTCCTAAAAAGTTAAAGTACGGTACAGATAAAGGAGGGACAATAGGACGTCCGCGGTGGGAGGTCGCTACACGACTGTATGTATGTACATATGTAGTACATGTACCAATAAATGTCAACAGTGTGTATGGTACGTATGCATGTATCACATGTACATGTACAATGTACATGTGTACATCACTGCTTTAATTTTGTATACTTTGAGTGCCAGTATGCACATGTACATTTTTACATTTTCTCAATCTTTGAATTAAAATTTGGCTTAGAAAAAAGCATAGAGCTGTACATACACGTACATGTTCCGGTACTGGTGGTAGGTTATTCTGTACATTTTTTGGGATTCAATTTTTTCCAGTCCCTGTTACATTTGACGTGTTTAAGTTTGAAAATTCTGGATGCATTCCTTACATATATCAATGCATTCTTTCTTCAAGAGTGTTTGCATGAAGCAAACTGCCTACCAAACAAGTAACACATACTTTGATGTCATTTTTTGAATGTTACTTATTTTGCAAATAACAGGGACAGGCTAATGTTACACTTTGGACACTCAGTTTAGGCCCAAAACAAAAATTGTGTGTTTATTAAAAGGTAACCCAACGGTTCCCAACCTGCCTGGAGTTTTGAAGGCCAGGTGGCTGCATGCACAAACCGAGCAATCCAGAATGTCATTTCTGCCCCTCGTTAGCCAAAAAACCCCACACACACAAGGAATATCCCCATCAGGTCTCAGTGTTGTGATAACTTGCCTGCTTTCCTATCACCTGCCCATGCTGGGTTCTACCCAGGCATGCCAGGCAGCTGACATAAAAACCTACCCAGTCTGTGGCTTCAGGCAATGTCTGGCACTGAAGACTCGCAGAAGAAGGGTTTGCAATAGAAATTCTATTTTTGCTGCTCGGACAGTGTGCTCATTAAATTGGAAGCATCCAAGACATTTCAGTGGGTTAAATGTGGCAAGACGTTCTGACAGATCCGAGACGTGTTTATTCAGGCAAGCGATATGTTTCGCAAAGCAAAGTATAACTAGACAGTCGTAACGACCGTAAGGACGAACCGAGGATGCTATTTTAGCCTTTTATTTCTTATCTTTTTACTGGCTGGGCCTGTTAAAAAAAAAAAATTAAAAGATTATCGCATTCTGTTAGGCTATTAGTAAAAAAATAAATAAGTTTCTCGTCTCCACCTGCTTTCTTTTTCCAGCCCGCCTACTTTTTTAAAATTCTTTTAAATCATACATAATTATTTTGCTTTTTAATTTATTTCCAGCGAAATTGTAGCTGCCCTGTTTAGTTCAAAATCTGGTATATATGTAGAAAGGGTGACTGTTCCTTTGGACACAAACATATCAACAAAAGAATTAAGAAAATGAAAAAATCCGGCTGCCGCCTCCTATTTTTCCAAAAAGTCTAGAATAGAAACTATTTTTTTTTTTACTTGGCCTTTATGGGAATACCACAAGGACTATATAGTCATAATAAACATCCCCATGTACAGATTGAAAAGACCATTTTTGTCAATTTTTGCATGGGTATTGTGTACATGTATAGGTGACCATCAAAAGAACAAATCACACGACATTAACCATAACCTTACCAACTCCATCAAAATCCATCGCCATTTTGGAGGGATTTTGGCAGACAAGCCACGTGTACCAAATCCATCAAAAATCCACCAGCACTAGTGGTGGATTTCAATGGATTTGGTCCTGAAGCATTATTTGAAGCAGAGGGAGTGATGGATTTTGATGGACATGGCCTTCTACTGGTACTTGGTAAAACTAAGTAGGGAGTTTAGGGTTAATGTATCAAATTTACATCTCCCCGACGCAAAATTTCATCTTGTGAAATCACAGAATAGCCTTTGCAGATCTGACTTATATCAGATTTTACCTTTTTTTTATAATACCAATGAAAGAATGTTGCATCCTGACGCCACTTTTTTCATCATATATTACATCAATGAAGGTCAGTTGTTGCAAAAATGTTGTAAAGACATGAATCTGTGACTGAGAAACATTTCCAATTTTGTTCAAAAATACTTTGAAAAATGCACTCGTCTCTCCAAAGAAGTGGTGTCTGGATACTACATTCTTTTCCAGTACCAATGATGCTCTTTAAAATTCCTCGTCATTCATGTATTGACATCGCTGCCCGTTACCAGTCCTTCAGATATGATGGACAACAGATGCAGGTTTCTTTCTCAAGGGGAGAGACCAGCGGGAATTCGCGCCACGCTCCCTGTCGGGCCTGGTGCAGTTCACCGCCACGCTTGGCCGCACGGCGTGAAGCCTGTTAGTGCCTCTCCTTAATAAAACCTGTCTACTCGAGCAGAAATATTAAGTTAATGCTGTATGAAATACATGTACATGCATGTGAACTGAAGGTGTACGGAAAATAATGCACAGCAAATGAGCACACTACCAGCCAGTATTTAATTTGATTTTGTCCTCCATTTTTTGTAATCTGCTATTGCTGTTGTCGCTTTAAAGTTACATGCCCTGTACTATTTTCCAAGTTTCATCCAAAAAAAAATCGATTCCTTTTCTAAATTGCTATTTTTCCAGCAATGTATACAAAAGTTATTTACTTTAAATGAGACATTGAACCCCCCCCCCCTTCCCACAAAAAAAATATTGGCCCAGTTATTGAGTCATTAACTTTATAAATTTCGAATTACTGGTGGCCAGACAATACTTTTTCTTCTCTGGAGGTCATTAAAGTCTTGGGAATTTTGTATTTCTGCTCGGGAAATTCCGAGCAAAATTGTGTGCATTTGCATGCGTGCGTGACGTAAGCATGTCTGGTTTCTGTACACACAGCTGTCAAATTGCAAGGGAGCTCGTATGTAAGCATCGTCCAAGGATGAAAAAATATGTCGACTGCATTGACGAGCAGTCAATTTGGCAGCAAGAAAACTTGGCCTTGAAAGGTTCAGAATCAGTGTTCTTTATCAATTTGGATGTGGCCATGACTCGGACCGAACCGTATGGTCAACCGGCGCCTAGTGCCATTGTTTGCATGCATACGGTACGTCGCCTGGCTAACGGTTTTCGGAACAGCTCTTTTGTTTCCACCACTGCGCATATATGCTGCTATTTTGCATATTGAGTCACGCCCAGTTGCAATGCGAAATTCCTGAGATATTCTTTGTGTCCGGTTTGTCGTCCGAGTGAGGTTCGTGAATGGGAGCATGCATGCTGCTGTGCAGTACAAAGGCCGTACTGTCTATCGTAACCTATCGGGCTCTTGCACCAAGGCAAGGCAGTCACTAGCAACTGCCCAGAAAATATCATCTGTGCACCTATATGTACATGTTATCCAAGTAATCTGCGCACTTTTTATTAGACCACTCTTTTAAAGGTATAGTCAATCATTTGTAATTTGTGCATTTTGTTCGTTTGAAGCAACAAAAGTGCTCACAATCTAAAGAAGGATGCTGAACAACTAACCTGATGAAGTTTCAGCTCAGCTTCAGCTGTATATTTTGAGAAAAACAGCATTCTAGGATCTCGATTTCAAATCAAAAGTTGCTGAATCATGTTTTGAATTGGGCCTGAATTCAGCGCCCAAGACACGTTCTCACTGAGCCGATTGCAGCGATGTCGCGCACTGATCCAACGAATTATAGCAACCGCGCACGCGTGTGCGTCGTGCCAATGCTTGCGCGCGCTTCGCCGAATAACAAAACGAAATACTAATTTGAATTTCTTACGATGCTTCTTGAGAAGCACCGTTGGAAAGGCCTTCTTTTGTTGATTTCTTCAAAATGACAGCTTGCCAGAAAGAATAATTTCACAGGGAGTTTAGTCCCCTTACTATCTTTCGACCAAGTATGTTTTTCAACAATAAATATGCCAGTTATTTTTTGGATAGCTGCAAATGATGGACTCTGGCTTTAATGATTGTGTTCTTCTGTTATACACCATTTCAGGTGGAAGAATTCGACAAGATATTTGGTGCCAGCCCTATCCCAACTTTCAAATGAGGATTTTCTCGTCACAATAGGTAGGTACATGTACATGTACAAGTGCTGTCATTTTCAAGAAAGGTGGAATTTCTGTATCATTTTCCAACGATGTCGAGCCGACCATTGTTGGGAAAAAAACTGACTTTTTAAAAAAATACCGCCCCCAATTTAATACAAAATTTAGTTTAATAGTTCACATTTTGTTTGCAGTCGGTTACACATCTGTGTGCGCGCACCCATCATGGATTCACGGAATTATAAACAAATACTAGCGGAAATTTCAAAAAATGTGTCACTTGACACATCTTTGGAAATGGCTTTGAAGTGGCTTTGAAATGACAGCATGCCAGTAAGAATATTGCAATCGCCTTCTTAAAACCAATTAAGTTAACTTTTCAACAATAATTTTGTTGAGGTACATGTACTTTTTGGATAGCTGCAAATGATCTACTGGTACCTTTAAGTGCATATGATACTGGTACAAATTGTCCTTGAAAACCCTGGGAAAAGCTTTCGGTTGATCATGCATTTGCCACATGTAATTTGTAAGGCCCCTGTGATGCACTGAACCCTGGCAGATTATAGTTTGTTGACCCGACTCAAGGGCGACTTTGTTGACTTTTTGTGGTTGTTGGTGTATGCAACAATTGCACCATACATGTAAATAGAGACACTGTACCCCTACACAGCTCCCAGGAGGGCTATGCATGCTGGAGTTGTTCATTTTGAGAGGTCGAAAGCTCAAATTTGTTTTTAATCTATTAAAAAAGTACTTTTAAAACTACTGTACATGCACATTTAGTACATGTAAGTACAGATATGGGATTTGTTAGGATTTTTATCTGGATTTCAGGATTTTTTGTCAAAATCCCTTTTGAAATTTGGAAATGGAATTCCTGAGATTGTACCATAAAGGTGTCAAATTATGTTTTGGTACAACAAAAGAAATGGAATTTTTAAGGGGTCGTGTGATGAGTTTTTCTTAGGAACATATTTTGTGCAACTGTCTACTGCTCTTTAATGTATGAAAAAATGTGGAACGATTTTCTCACAAAAGTACATGTAAATGATGACACATGAACATATCATACATTGTATAATGCTTGGTTATCATGCAAAAATTCAAACAATTTTTCTATTGTTTCATTTTGCCACAAAAATTCCCACAATTGAAAGTAATATTGCCATTGATTTTATCTTGTTGAAAAATGAGTCAAAATTTGTAATTTACAGTGATTCATCGAGGGCCCAGTTTTACACAAAGCAGTGACAACTTCATGAGAAAATCCAAAACATCATTTTTTTTCTCAAGCCTGACTCAAATCGTGGAGACAATTGCTGTTGAATATTCATAAACTGCGGCCAATCATTATGGATGAGTCACCATTTGCCGATTGTAATCCGCTCATCATGTAGTCACCACTGTCTATAATCACAGACTCTGACTACATGAATAATTAATGACCTAATATGAATATTAATAGACGAATATATAATGGCATGAATATTGAATGTGTAATGAGAAGCACAGGCTGAATGAATGGGCGTCTGAATGGCTCATCATCGTTGCTTATTTCAAGGACAGCAGATGGTCTTTTTTGCGTGTGTGGACAAATCGCTGCATACATGTATCTTAATTTTGGTTTGCAAAATATGCTAATTTTACATAAATTTACAAGCTTCATTGATGTACAGGAGGCCTATATGTTACTAATGAACAAACTTACAATTTCATGTACCTGTGCGTCTATGCATACATTTTATGCAAGCTGGTATGTGTAGTAAGTACGCACACATTGTACAGGTAGATATTGCAGACCAAAACTCAACATCAAATTTGTTTTATTCATTAATATTTTTTTTTAGGAATAGTGCTGTCCTACTAATATGGATATTTGATTATTTGATCATAACCGAATATTGGATTATCTTTTTGCCGGTTTGAATTTTCGAAAAGAAAAAACTACGTACGTGCAGGCTGTCTCGCATAAACTGAATATTCTAATAATCGATCATCAACAGAATATTGGAATATCTTTTTTGCCGGTTTGAATTTTCGAAAAGGAAAAAAAACGATGCCTGTGCACACATGACTGCGATGTCATTTTAATAGTAAAGTTACGTTTTATTGTCAGATGCCACTTTTTTTTGCGGATGGTAACTTTCTTGTTAACACCTATTTCTGGGTCCCATTCTTTTAGCTGGGTCAGTCCCTGAACAGTGATACAGTACTTACTACAAACCACTCTAGTGGCCTATAATAGCCATCGCCGCATGCACATTTTAACCGGCGCGCTTTGTGTGCAACTTTTGACCAGCGAGGTAGGCAGCTGCAGCTGGCTGGCTTGTGTAAAACTTGATGGGCGAGTTTCGAATATTTGCATATGCAGTCAAGTGCAGTTTCGAAAAATAGTGAAATTTGCTAAATTAGTCGAAAATGGACAGCTGTACAGGGTGAGTAAAAATAATGAAACCCAAATGTCGGGACTATTGTTTTAGTGAAGTTCTGCATGTAGCACTTTCAAAATCTAGGATATGAAAGCCCAATTCATAAGCTTTCTTTTGATACAAAAATCATTCAAATCACTCATGTACTTTTCAAGTTACAGAATTTTAAACACAGCCATCGTTTTAAGGTTCTGGCCACGGATCACAAAAAAAGTGTGCGTTCTTTCAGCAAAACGAAAACAATTCACACACATGGCTACATGTACACGTATGTGATTTCCTTTCATTTGCTGAATGAACACTGAACTTTTTTGTGATCCATGGACAGAACCTTTAAACGGTGGTTGTGTTTATAATTCCGTAACTTGAAAAGTACATGAGTGGTTTGAATGATTCTTGTACTAAAAGAAAGCTTATGAATTGGGCTTTCATATCCTAGATTTTGAAAATGCTGCATACAGAACTTCCCTAAAACAATGGTCCTGACATTTGGGTTTTTGGTTGTTTTTTTTTACTCACCCTGTAGAATTAGCAAAGTTATGATCAATCTCACTGTGGCTTGAACTGAACAATAACAAGTTTGAAATGTTCACACTTTTGCATTTGATTCATCATCCAGGTCAGTACATTTTTATTTTTCGACCGAGGCCTGTTTTTTTGTTCAAGGCAAACTGTATTTTTGGCACAATGTGACAATTAGATTATCTGTTTTTCTTGCCCGCGCTCGGTAAGGGAGTTCCTCCTGCTTAAAAAACATCTCCCCCTAATCAATTAACCGTCGAAAATATTTTTGAGGGCGAAGACTATTTATAGCACCTCCAAAGATAACTTTGAATTACTCCAGCGATTTGGAAATTATGTTCGGTGTCCTGCTTGAGGTTGTGTTTTTCGAGTCGCCCAGGTCTGCCGACCCCCCCCCCTCCTCGTTTCCTGACAATATAAACTTTAGTTGTCAACAAAGTAAAAGGATAGGCCTTACACCTGAAACGCATCACGTTGAAGGACTGTGTGTCGAACAAAAGGAATATCATCTGAAACTGTCATAGGAAATGGTTAATATCCTGGTAGCCATTTCTTTTATGGATAGGAAAGATGTTTGTAATATTGTTTCTTACGTTTATCTTTTCAAAATCCTGGAACGGAGTTAGCAAATGTGATTCTGATTTGGAAATACATTTCAAGAATTCGTTTTTCATTTTTAGCGGGAAAGATGTTTGACATAAACTTGATTTTTTTTCTCCATTTATCTTGTGAAAACTCTGAAGCAGAGATTGAAAAAATATGACGTGTGTCACGTGTCACCACAAGATTAGCTTAAAGTCAGAAATTGCCATTTTGTGGTACAGTGGGACGAAGCCAAAATTTTGAAGGATGGTTATTTTAATTTTTTTTCGGGTAAACCATAATCTGTTAATTTTTGTTAACCAGAATCTTTAAGTCCTGTTTAACTTTTCTCCAATTTTGTTCGTTCTGTCAAACATCCTTAAAACCTATTTCATCCTGTTTTTATTATGTCGTCTTTCATTCACTGAAACACATACATGTACATGTAGGATTTAAAATGCCATTTTCTCAAATATCAGTTTTACAAGTAAGTTGGTCTAAATTTCCGTCACTGAACTCAGTAGACCTACCTCTTAATGTTGTACATGTATACCATTGGAAAACTCTTGTTCTGCAGAATCCAGACGCATAAATATCTCAATTCTTAAAAAAGTCTGTCTTTAAGCTCATTTAATTGTGATGACGGGTCATTAAATGTGATTGTGCTTTGGGAATACATTTCAACAGTTCCATATTTGCTTTAGTGACAGGCTTTTTGTACAAATATTTTGGAGTTGGAATTTTGCAGACAGAGGACCGTTCAGTTTTTCAGCAGGTCACGTTTGCAAATAAGGCCTGGCACGTCTGACTGGCCTGGTGTTTCTGTATTGTACGCAAAGCCTGTTTGTATAAAATAGGCATGTTTGCGTTTACAGGCATGGATTTTGCCTTAGATCAGCTAGTTTCTTCTTTTTTTGGTTTCAGTGAAAATTGAAAAACACTGTGCGTGTTGTATGACTCGGAATTTCCTCTTTTTGTGACGTCCGAGCTACATGTACATGTACATGTATGCCTGCATTAACGAATCTTCTTAAAATAGTGTACACACACACTGTTTGTTTTCAAGCTGATGAGCTCCCATTGTTTGTAATTGCTCCTCATGTGCTGTTTTCGAGTTTCAGCCCGAAAAATAGATGTTGTTTTTCAAATTGATGTTTTTCTAGAAATAAGTTATTCACTTTTAAATGAGGCATTGAACAAAAACATCAACCCACGTTTAGTGATGGAATATATTTACACTACAAAAATGTGATTTTTTTTTTTCTCGTGGTCCGACTTTCAGGGAATCTTTTTAGCGTTATGGGTGCAAAAGTCACACAAATGAAAGTGTATTTTCAGAGGGTTGAAAATGTCCCCCCAAATGTTGTTTTTCCTTTTAAATAAAACATACAAATTGAAAATTCTAAAGGCGAAAAACAAGCCCGATCGGAAATATCTCGGAAGCTGCGGGCCGACGAATTTGTGTTCATGCATGAGTCACGTGACTCTGCCATGTAATTTCTGGAA